AAAGCCATCTGGTTTAGGAGTTGTTGGCCTAACGCTTGCTACATAAGTTGGTTAGAAAGCTTAAGGGACTTCAGCATTGCACAACCATTCTATGTTTCGCTTATGAGTTGCAATAAATTGTCAACAAGCAACAAAAGTTGTCTTGTAAATAAAATCATGCCTTAGGGACCTCATTTAAAGGGGAATTCAATGATTTGAAAACTTGTGCTTTGGAATTGGAAAAGAAAGTAAAAGCCGCATGTTGAGAATCCAATTCACTTTCACTGGAGTTTGAGTTATTTCCATTTAAGAGATGACAATTGAATTATTTATATGGACTATGATGTTGATGCATGCATGTTGAAATGGTTTTTCCCAATTTTTTTATCAATGCTTCATATATGCAAGGTAGTCTTCCCAATGATCCCGTCTCCAGCTCTTTATCTGTTTCAAGTTGTATTTGAGCTATGTTTATGTTTATTTTTGCCATGGTGAATATTTTTGTAATAGCATTCCCATGTTTTCATTCCATTGAGCTTTGCATTTTGGTTTTGCTAAGGGACTAGCAAAATGTAAGTTTGGGGGTGTGATAAGCGCCGAATACTGTATATTCAGGCGCCCTAAATTACATTAACAAAGTCCATTAATTGATTATTTTATGTAGATTAACTCCATTTGCATGTTTTTGTGCATTTTCAGGTTAAAGTGCAAAAAGGAAGCAAAAATGATGCCTTGTGGAATTATGAACAAAAAGGGTGCCAATTCTGAATTTCTGGCAGCGGTAGAACCTGACTTTTGTCGCCATGTTCGACCTAGCAAACTCTAGAACTGGACTTCCATCATAACATGAAAGATTTATAGCTCTGAATCAGCTTTCCAAATCTTCAAGCGGTTCGTCATTCGGAGTTCGGAACAGGGAGTTATGATCTTCTTAACAGAGGTGCGCAGAACTGCCTGGCAGCACTGAAGTACTGCCTTTCTCCCCATTTTCGACCAACCAGACTTGAGAATTGGGTCTTCATCAAAACATGAAGTTTTTAAAGCACTGAATCAGCTCTCCAAATATTCAAACAGATCATCATTCGGAGTTTGGGGCACAAAGTTATAGCAGTTTTACCAAAGTAGGTCAGTGCTGAGCAAGAAGAGCATGTTGCACATTACACTAATTTAGAGTGCTCGAGACCACTCTTCGAGTGCTCGAAAATCAGCCAGATTACAGCTTAGAAATGAATCCCTCTTCAGCCCACTTGTGCATTGGTTTTCACATTTCCACCCTCCTTCTTTATGGAGTGGTTGGGAATGTCTTTGGAGGAGAGAGAGAGAGCTTGGTTGAAAGTTATAAGGCAACTAAGGGCCACATGCATCATATCATTCATTTTTAGAAGATAAGAGGAGAGAGAGGAGAGGAAAGAAAGGAGTTCTTCAAGCTAACAAAGGGGAGCTTGAAAATTGGAGATGGAGTTTAAGCTTCTTCTTCATTCTAAGGCTCCAATGGGTAACTAACTCTTCTTCTAGGGAGGTGATGAAGCCTCCCTTGTAAGCATACTCTAGTTTTGTTCTTAATTTGGGGAATGAAGTATGTATGTGGTATTTTTCATAATCTAGAGCTCTACACATGTTGTAATGGATCTTAATTTCTATTAATGATTATGTTGAGTTTTATCATCTTGTTTTAGGTTATATTCTCTCATGATTTTATAGCTTGCATCCTCATAGTGGGAATGGAGATGAGATTATGAAATGGTTTTCTTGGCATGTCTTGTGAAGGTTTTGATAGTCCATTCCTAGGAACGATGAACCATACTACACCCCTAGATTAATGTAATTAAGTAGATGGTTCATACCAACCGTGGATGGATTATACTTAGTCTTTGATTACATGTGCATTTACCATACAAAGTAAGGGATCTGATAGGCCATTCCTAGGGGATTATACTTAGATGGTTTATACTTAGCTCTTGATTGTATGAACTTCTTGAAGATAGTGTAGTTATCATGCATCTCTACATATCATGGTCATTTACATAAGTAGCTCCTCAAGTTAATTGCAAGCTAGCATGTTTATGAGGTGTGTGGTGGATTCATTTCCCTAGTCCTCTCCACCTAAGTTTCACTCCTTTTAATCTCCTTCCAGTTATTATTTTATGCATCTTTACATTTCTAGCTTAGTGACAAACCAATCAACAACTCTTTATTACACCTTATCACTCTAAAATGACTCTAGACACTTAGGTTGTCATAGATTAGCGCAGTCCCAATGGTTCAACTTACCCGACCAATAGCCCTATTTTACAATGATTCGTGCTATTGCGAAGGTTGATGTTTAATTGACCAACCGATCATTGCACGTAGTGTCTTTACGGGCTTTTACATTAGTTACATTATGGAATTCCTTGTGAAGGAGTTGTTACATTTGATTTTGTCACGGGCTGTCCACTTCCCTAAAGTGGGAATAATGCTTTATTTTTCGTGTTTGTCTTATCGACACTTATGGGAGAATAAGGTTTCTTCTCTTTTCTTGGTTCGTGTTAGGGACTTCACAAGGAGTGAGTTTCTTTTCTTCATTGCATTGTGTATAGTTATAGGTTGGTTGATCTATGGAGATCATCATAGTGGTTTCGAGTCCTTGGTGAGGATTTGATTAATTTTGGTCGACTTAGTTCCGTATAGGGGGTGAAGTCTTTGACCTTGGTGTTTTTCGTTTCAGAGTTAGTTTCGGTGTTGTCCTTGTTGGGGCTGGTGGTCTTCTTTTCATGTTTTTCCCTCGGGGAATTTAGTTGTGGTTGCCAGTGAGGATTGATGTGAGGTCATTTTATGGGGACTTGTGTCCATATCATTGAGGATTTGTTTGATTCGTCGTGTGAGCTTGATGCTCTTTAAGGATGTCTTTTGGAGACTTGTCTCAAGTTAGAGTCTTGAATGTGGTTAACTCTTAGATGATGTTTCGGGGGATCGCATTTGGATATGGTTGTTTATGGAGTCTCGTTTCATGATCATTGTTGACTTCTTTTGGAGAGCTTGGCTTTTAAGTTATTTTGAGGGACTTGTTGTATTAATAAGACCTTATGCGTAGGATTTTCAGTGTATTGTCTTGTGGGAAGGATTATCGTGACATAGGATATATAAATGTTTTCTGATTTTGTGGAGTACGATCCATTAGCTTGAGGGCACAGACTTGTCAGGATTTGGATTCGTGACTGGTGTTATTGATAGTGGCGTTCTGAAATGTAGGTGTTGTTGGTTTTATTTGTATAGAGGATTTGAGGCCTTAAGCGTGAAGGTGCCTATGACATTGTTGCCAGAGTTTTAGGATTGGCCGAGATGGTCCAGCCGAACTTTTTTATGGGCGAGTGCTAGTTGTCATCGATGCTACCTTACATTACCTAGCTAGTAATGTAAACGTGGGCGGACACTAAACGTTGTCAATGCTATTATACATTTGAGTACGTTGTGAGCGGGTTCTAGTCACTATTCATACTGCCATGTTGCTTTAACTAAATACCTTAATCCGATATGTGGTTGTCTTGAAGTTTTTCTGGAGATTGTCGCTAGAATAATATGTTGGCTCGTTAGGAGTGGTGTTCACGGTTTTGTATCTCCTTTATCTTTTGTTTGATCTCGTGACTTTAGGAGTTGTCTATTAGTACTCGATGATCTGTTCCTTGATGTGACCTTGTGTTTAGTGCTTGAGATTTTATGTGTTGTATGGCCATGTGATTATCGTTCTTTTAAGAGTGTGTTATGTCATGAGCACATGGGTGCAAATGACATTGGGATGGGACCACTTTTGGCAGGTTGTTCAATGTGTTGTGTCATGAGCATGCGGGTGCAAATGGCATTGGTCTGTGCATTTTCTTTTGGTTTTGAGATTGTCAATGTAGCGTGTTGTGTGGGATATTCGGAGATATACTCCGTAGTTACCGTGGGTTGGCCTTCTGTTTTGTCGAGGATGGATTTCAAGGACAAATTCCCTTTCGGGTGGGACGATTTTGAAGACCGTGTCTTCTTTTTCCTTTTCTGATTTTTTCGTCATTCATTTTTATTATTTATTATTTATTTTCTTTATTTAATTATTTGGTTTATTCTTTTTCTGAGTTGCCTTAGGGTTTTGTTGCGCCCGAGGTAGGCTTCGGTGCCCTGAGATGATTTTCGGCACCACATGCATTGCGTTATATTGTCTTTTGCTGCCCGCTTATGTCTTTAATTTTATTGAAAAGTATGTTTGTTTATTTTTATTTAATAGGGGCATGGATGCGTAGTTTCTTCTGAAACATTTTTGTTTCTAGGGGTGTTTTGTGTAATTAAGTTTTTGAGATATTTTGTCTTAAGGACTTTTGTGCAAATACTTTTACTAGATATTTAGAGGAAGAACCTTTCTGTAATTTGGGAAAAGAGTAACAAATGTCACTCATTCATTGGACTATTTGTTGACTCACCATTGTGACACTTGGAAGCCTAGATTGGTGACAAGTGTAAGCTTGAAATTAAACCTTATGAGGAGGCCTAAATTTGTGACAAGTGGAGGGTGGATGTGTGTGTGTGTGTGTGTGTGTGACGTAGCATTGGTGTGTGTGTGTTTGGCTAACAAAGCCATTGTTAGTGGGAAAAGATGTGAAATTACATTTTCCTCACGAAGTCTCCATTGTTGCCACCATAAACACTAACTGCCATTTTCAAAATTTGAACCCCTTCCAATAGGAATTTAATCTTCCACTTTAAAGATCAAATCTTCCTCTCTTCATGATCTAGAACACCTTTTTCAGTTTTTCATTTTGACTTTGTTTACCTCGGATTTCAGAGGGATGAACCTCTATTAAAGCAGTTTGAGAAAACCAAAAACCGTCTTCACCATTTCTGAAATTCGACCCCCTTCCTTTGGGATTTTTGTGATACCCCTCAACTCCGAGACATGGGTTGATTAGGCTTAAGCCCAAACCCAAGGGAATACCAAAAATTAATATTTAAATGAATATAAAATACAAAAGAATTAATATATAAATAAATAAATACGCTGAAAAGAATTCTAAGTATTAAAATCCTCAAAATATAAAACCAATAAAATCCAAACTTCTAATATCTCAAAAAACATACAACTCGGGAATCCATCTGGTGGACCCCTAATAACATCCCAAATGAAAGTAAAGTACGGAAACAAAATCCAAAACTAAAACATGAAAAGTAATCCTACGTAGCCGAAGGAGTGAGTGACTGTATCTGCTCAGCACGATCAAGCTCTAAGCCTGGAACTGACGAACACCTGAAAAATAAGAGTGGGTCAGCCTACGACAAGTTCTATCCTACTACAATCTATACAGAAACCCGATACGCATATACATCCTAGATAGCTCAGTAATAACTAAAGTAGTCCATATATGTATACATACACACTATAGGACGCTCACTAGCCTATAGGTCTATTTTACTCTGAGTAGAGATAACATGCAAATCGCAAGTAATGTGGGCATGTATACGTAGACCTACTAGGGGACCAGGTGTCTATGTCCAATTATCCATCCTAGGTGATATACGCACCCTAACCATGATCCTGAGACTCAAACTCATATCACGGTACCATAATTATATGTATATAAAGTCCGTATAAGCCTAATACAAAAATATCATCCATCTGATACAGTGGCCTGACATCTGTATAACAATCCATCCAAAAATCAAAGTAAGTCATTCAATTATTTATTGACCTGACACAAATATGAGTAGGACTTAACTTTTATAGTTAATCCATACCCCAATCCAGAATAGGTAGGACTTAGTATTTTGAACTAATCCATCCCTAGTATGCCACCGTCCCATACCGGCGCATACAATCCACAAACCAAATAATTGACACAATAAATGCTAAATTTAATCATCAATTTATAAATCCAAAGCATGATATAATGATAATCAGAAATATAAACTGAGCACATTATACTGAAATTCCAAATATACTTTCATACTAGTCCATTTAATTTGCTAAAACAAAACTAGCAATTTAAAGCTTCCACAATCCCTGACAACATGCAAATTAGTATTTAAATTTCATGACATCCTCTACCATAGCATAAACCAATAGTCTTGGGTCTTTAATATGCTATATACATCATTTAAAAACCCCCAGTTAAATTTGTAAATTACACTTTAGCCCCTGTAGTCTGAAAAATACCAAAATTATACACCCGTAGGGTGTTACAGTAAGGGAGCCGACTCTCACACACCTAGAGCCGGCACTCCCTCATGGAGAGCCGACTTTCTCACCTAGGGAGCCGGCTCCCTCCATTAGGAAGCCGGCTCTCTCCCTAAGAGCCGTACTACGCTCCTCCTGTTCATCTTCTTCGCCTCCGGCAAAGTTCAGAGTCCTCTGTACTGATTTTTTATTAGATTTTTTAGGGTTCAATCCAAGTCCCAAAGACTCCAGAAACTCATCGAATCCCAGTATGAATTGCTAACAAAAATTTGAAACATAATCGATAACAGTTTATGCAATAAAATAATTTCAGTTAAGCAAAACATAAAACAGTTTACAGTCTGATTTAATATGCATAAAACATTCGTTTTTAAAGTCTGATTTAATTCCTGGAGACTATATAGCATGCACAGAACACAGGTTTAAGGGAAGGAGTTAGAATAGAAACTTGCCTGTGAGATTTTGAATTAAAATCTCCACGCCGTCTTCCTAGACTTTTTCGGCGAGTTCTGATTACCGTCAAGCCTCCTACTGCTCCGTTTCTAACCCACAATCAACCTCTTCCTTTCTCTTTGGTCCGACCTTAAATTTTCGGTCAAAACCCTAACTGGTTCTCTCTATTTTCCTCTTAAATCTCTCTCTGTTTCTTTCTGCCTCCCAATACGTGAATAGGGTTTTTGTTTCACCATAGCAGACGTATACAAGAATATATATATATAGGCGTCTAAACCCTAAGTTCGATTATAACGGTATATATATAAGTTTTAATTAAAACCTAATTCTAATTCCAACCCAATTCTAAGTTGGCTACCCTAACGTGACTATCTAAACGAATACAAAACCCTAATTAAACACTTAATGAAAACAAACAATTAAATTTCCACATAAGCATACATTAATGAAAAACAATAATTAAAACACATAACTGAATTAAATAAAACAATTAATCAAAGAATTTAATTAAATAAATAACAACTACATAAATAACCACATAAATCAATTAAATAATTAAACAATTAAACAAATAAGTCAATTAATCAAATAAAAATGAAATAAAAACATGAATTAAAATGCCGAGACTATCTTTTTAAAATTAGGGATATTACAATTTTAGTCTTCCACCTTAAATACAAAAGTTTCTTCTCTTCTTGATCCAGAACATCTTTTGATAGTTTTTCAATTTGAGTTCGTTTGCCTTGGATTATGGAGGAACAATCCTCTAGTGAGGTAGGGGTTGTCATATGTTTATACTCTTGTTGTTGTTTCTTGTTTCCTTTATTGTTGATATACATTGTATGCATGTAAATTGATGTCCTAGGATTGTACTTGATGCATATTGATCATATTTAACCTAGGGTTTTATTTTTACACAAGTCTTATATGTGGCTATCCTCTTGTGTTGTTGTAGTTTTACATACTAGAAGTTGGAAATCTTGTATTGTTTTATTATTGTTACTAGGATGTTATAAGATTATTATTGTCATTATTTGTGTTGTGATACTGTACTATGTCATTGTTAAGTTAGGGATTTAATGAATACCATGTTAGCATGACAAAAAAATCATTATGTTGATGATCTTATAATTGTATTTATCTTGTTTCACTTAGTAGTGTTTTGAAATCATGTGATTATTATTTGTGTATTTATTGAATTTCTACATTGTTGTGGTTGAAGATTCAATTGTGTATTTAATATTATGTTAATGTTTAAATAATGGATTTGAGACTAAATTTGTGATAGTATAGATGAAATTCAATTGCTGACACCATTGTAGTAACTTGGTTGATTCACATTATAAATTCGTCATTACAAGTGCCATTATAGTTGAGGACTTAGTGCGTGGAATGTGTGGGTTCCAATCTTGGTTGTGCATGGAAGGTGGTTAAATGCATTGTTTACTTATGTATATAAGTTGTTGCATTGATTGTTGATTTTAGAAAGTTGGGACGTCGTTGTTGAAATGGTTAGAGTTCGGCTCTAATGCAGAAGATATGAGTCCTCCCCACATGTGCGCACTAGGGTAGTTCCCGGCAGGTTAGTAACCTAAAATAGTTATTATTCGTTTGGATTTGATCCGGCGTGATGTCGATATTATTTGTTTGATTTCGCATTTCGTTTCAAGTTGATGACACTAAATCATTATAACTTGTTGTATCTATATTGTTGATCTCGTATTTTGTTTCAAGTTGATGACACTAAATTGTTGTAACTTGTTGTTGGCTTTGATGGTTCTGATTCCGTTTAATTGCTCTACTTATTGTGGTTTGTGTTTAAAATGTTCTAAGGTAACTTAGGATGATCCTTTAGTACCATTTTGAACATAGACGTTAGGTGGCATACACCACATGTAACCGTTTATATTTCGTTGCAAAGAATCATTGAAACTTTAGAGTATACACATATGCTTCTTCCTACTAGTAATGCAAGTTACTCACCGTAATTGATTGGGTTATTTTCAGGTAAGGAGACTTTGTTTTGGGATGCACAACATCCTTAGGTTGCCTTGGTTGCATCGAATTACCTTTTGTGTAATTTCACATACATGCAAGTGTTAACATGTTTTGTTTTCTTTTGAAATTGTAATATATAGCTTGGTTATGACATGTCGTTTTCATTTTGGGATATGTAAAGTGTGCCTAAGTATACTATTCAAGACTCATTTCATATGTGTGATATGTGACCAAAAGCCAAACATCTTAATTTTATGCAATGGTTACTTTTTGTTTCAAGCATGAACTTATTTTTGCAAAGTATGCACATAAGGGCATTTTGGGCATTTTCATATGAAAAATAAGACTTAGCTTTATCATGGTCATTTAGAAAACCATATTTGGGGGGGGGGGGGGGGGGGGGGGGGGGGGCTTCACAAACTTTTTCTAAAAAAATTTGTTTTGACGTCAAAAAACACGCGTTTGCCTTAAATTTCTGGTGCAGCCTTCTGGTCTGCGATTGATTGCTGAATCTCATAACCGATTGTAGACTCATTTTTTTTTATCCATCACAGGGTTACGATCGTTCGCAGACCCTTGGCGACCCTTCGCAGAGGCCTGGCGATCGATCGCTTTAGTAGCACTTCACTTCTAAAAGTTGGATTTTTGGTCTCAGTTTCATCGATCGTGGAATTCTGTGATCAATCGCAGAATTCCACGATCGATCACAGATTCCCTTAGGCATGATTAAATTTTTAGTTTTTTTTTTTTTTTTTTTTTTTCAAACTTTGAGGTCCCATATCTTTGTCATCCGAACTCCGAATCAGGTGATTTTTGGGTCTAACTTTATTAATTTTTCATTGTCTTTCCAATGGTGTGCATAGTAGCACCCATTTATATGTAAAAATACTATTTTACCCTTGCGGTCACACTTGGTCTATTTTTAACCCTAGTTTCCGCTTTTGTTCTCTTTGAGTTCCGTGACCTCATAGAAAGTCACTTTGGCGTCTTAGAGATAAGGTATATCTATAGAGAACTCAGTTTTATCTTTCACTTCTGCATTTCAGATTCGCTATCGGGTTAACTTTCGAGTCATCATTAACGCACCGGGTTTGTAAAACCAGGGTCGTCACACCTACAACTGTCATACTTCTTCCCAAATGTTCGCAAACGTTGACAAGCCTCGCAACTGTTGCTTGTACATCCACAACAATCACAACTATTGCTTATACATCGACAACCATGACAACATGCATCAATCATGTTTTCTATGAAAGGATACGTTAAAAAAATGGTCAACAACTTGGCCTAAATTGTGGATGTTGTGATATACATAACTCTGCATGGAACAACATGCAACCATTCACACCATATATTCACGTTGAACAATATTTAATTCACATTCACGTTGTAGTCTAACGTGGTATAAACAGGCCATATTCATAGACAAGTTTCATTTACATGTAGAAACACTAGTTTTCACAACAAGTTTCTAACAATAAGATCTAGAGTAAATTATATGAATCAAGAGTATTAGTCTGTTGGAAGTTAACATTTTTTTCAGCTTATTATTGTCTTACGCAGTTATCCTTTCTTTCTTTTCTTTTTTATTTTCCTAAGGTGAATGAAAATATATATTGATT